AAGGGTAATTGCCACAAGCAGATCCTTGGAATCTGGCATAAGGATCCATCAGTGGCATGATTCGCATCGCCGTACGCCTTACCTACCCTGCTCTTCTCGGCTGTAAGTGCGACAGTTTTCCCAATCAAGGATGCCATGGAGCCCGGCTGTGAGAAACAAGGCGTGTTTCTGACACAGCAGTTTCTCGCCTGTTCTCCTTGCTGTGCTAGACCAAAACAAGGCTGCAAATTAAATTCTTTTGCAGCTAGGCATCTGTAAGGAACTTTCCGTGCACTGCTCGAAGAGAGCAACGCAGTTGCTAGACTGGACCGTCAGCCATCAAAACCCAAGCGAAAAACAAACAACCCCCAAAAGAATCTATCCCCAAACCTCCTGGAACCCTCAATCAATCCTAGACCCCGCCAAAAACCCAAACCCTGTGACCGTAAATTCCTTGAGCCCCTCGAAGATCTGACGACGTCTGTTGTGAAATGAGGGCCGGGCCAGGCATTGAATCAGAACGTCTCTTCGAGCTGCGGCACATCCTCCTGAAGTTCACCTTATGGCTGCAGAGTTCGGAGGGCTTCAGGACTCCAGGGCTGAGGACTTGGAAGTTAGTGGCTAAGCCTTCAGCCTTTCGGGGTCGATGCCAACACAACTTCAGGATACTCAAGCCGTGGGTGGCATGGATGCTTGAGGCTTGAGGCTTGGGTACCTGCCACACCCTACTAGGAAGAACTGGGCAAGTGTCTTGCAAGCTTCCAAAGTTCCGCTATTGCTCCGAGCGGCTGAGATCCATCACTTCATCCTCCTTGCGCTTGAGCTTCTTTGGAGGGTGTCGGGGGTTATACACAATCATTGGCGAGTCCTGCTCGTGCGCTACTGTAGGTATTACAGCAGTACTACACATCATACAGCAGTACTACACATCACTGTACACATTAGTCATTGTAATAGTACCAGAAGTGGAAATAAATGGATATTCAGTTACATCAAGCATTGGGTCCTCGTCGTCCTCCTCGGCTTCATCGTTGCCATCCGAGCGGCCATCAATCTCCTGTCACGAGCAGCAGCTAGTTTTTTTATCGTGCCGGCTGCGCCTGGTTGCCTGTTTTCCTGGTCCCACAAAATCAAACGGTTCATCTTGTGAGTTATGATAGGATTACATGGATAAACCCCAGAGGGGTAATGCCGACCTACTCAGCTGATAAAGCTCTGTAGCTCTCACAACTCTTTCTTGCTACTCATGCCATGCTCCAGTCCAATGGATTCGAACTGGCAAGTATGGCCTCGTTCCAGTGGAGAACGTGCATCTCAACTCCTTGTCTGACCCTCCAGCCAAGCTTGAAAGAATCACAAACTGCCTTTCCCGAGAATTCCATACCGCAATAGGCTGGAAACTCCGAACTCCAAAATGACAATATAACTCCTAAACGCCAAGTACCAAACTAAACCCTCAACCCTGCTCCACAAATCGCAACTGAAAGGGTGCCTGCACATGCGGTTCTACGTCCAGAGTCACTGACTTCTGGACGGAAGCTCTAGCGGCCGGCTCCTGAAACGTCGATGCGCGCTGAAGCTTCGGAGGCCATCTAAAGGATTCCGAAAATTAGGGGTACTGTACCTGATTTTGGGGCCTTTATAATCTATACTATTTAGGGTACTGCATTAAAGAGTCCCCTATTTTCGGAAACTCCCATCTGAGCCTGTAGATCTCTCTATAGTGGAAGGATTGGGCTTCAAGCGGTTTTGTTCTTTCCACCCGACATTCTTTACAAGTGTGGCTTCGGGCCCGAAACCTGTGATGTGGCGGTGGAGCTTGAAACGCCGAGTTGTCTGTTTGAGCATCAACGACCTGCTTCAGGAGCCACGTCCATCGAAAGCAAGCGACACCCGGACAGTTGGGGAAGGCTTCGCAGAGGCTTTTCCGGACAGCAATGCCCATCGAAAAGACCGGCACCCTTTCCTCAATCCCTACCGATTCCATGGGTGGGGAGGCGAAGGTCTCACCTAGATCTGTCGCCTTAGAGCTTGCCTGGGGCCAAAGTTCTCCCAGCATGTCCAGGCTAGCCCTAAGTTGGGATCTCACGACATGACACGACCCGCACGAGGAGTCTGGCTTCCACCCTGCAAGAAACCGCTGGTCCTGCTTCTCCGGTTCATGAGGCCCTCCACCTTGCACTGGCTGCCTTTGTGCGCCGGCCGGGTACATGCTGGATTTACGGCCACTCGGCATTGAGTCAATGGTTTTGTCTTGATCCGCACTGTTTCGAAGAACCCTGGAACAGCACTGGCAATGCTGCACCCTAGAATCCCAGAAACTATCACAAAAGCCAAACCCATAGTAGCTATAGTACACCTGTAGGCAAGACACGTCTCCGAGGGGCTTTCAGCCTCTCCCGAAGCTCCAGCTGACTTCCGCTTCCACTTCCAGGGTTTCGCGTCCGCTTGCCGCTCTTCGCTGGATGCTGGGGTCGGAGTCTCCGGGGGATCCGGCGTGGCAGCTACGGGGGCAGCTGTAACGGAGCTCTGGCTTTCAGAGGATTTCCTCTGCTGCGGGGGTGTCTCGGCGGGGGTTGCCACCTGAGAGGGCGTCTCAACGGGAGTTGCAGTCTGAGAAGGCGTCTGGGCAGGGGTCGCCATCTGCGAGGGTGTCTCAACAGGAGTCGGCACCGAGGAGGTGTTGCTGGGTGGCGATGGTCGACGTGGAGCAGCAGCTGGTGGTGCTACCACCTCAGCCTCCTCTCCATCCTCCCCTTCCTCCCCCAAATCCCCATAAGACTGCAGGAAGTTCGGGGACACCGGCGATGTCGGTGAACCCGGATTGGCACGCTGGTATGGAAGGTCACTGCTTGGGGAAGCGCCTGCGCTTGGACCACTGGGCCGCTTTGGGGTCCAGGCCACCTCCGGGATCGTCTCCTGCCTTGGATTATACTTCTGTCATCTATTATTCTGATTATTATTATTTGTTATTTTATTCTTATTGTATGATATACCGTTGTATCCTATAGTGTATTCTATTGAATCACATTTTCTTCTCGTGATCGTCTCATGCCTTGGATTGAGGCTTCAGGATTTTTTGGTGTAGGGTGTCGGATTTTTCCCTCCTACCTAGCGCTTCGGGTTTTTATGTTTATCATGCCTTGGATTGTAGTAAACCGCAAAAAGCTGGAAACCGGATTCAGGACAATTAGTGCTGGGATTCCCCATCCATGACTCTCAAGGATTGAAGCTATTGGGTTTCCAAGCATAGCAGAAAGGGCGGGGAGGATGCTAGGCTCAGTGATACCCGTGATGTCGAATGTCCAGCATCACGTAGCTCTCTAGTGCGCAGGACTTAACAGGAAGCAAGAAGCCGTGCACAGCTCTCGAAGTAGTAATCCAGTACAAGGTCGACAGGGATTCACCAATGCACACGCTACCCCACTTTAGATGGACAACGGTTGGACAACGTCAACAGCCCACTCTACAGCACGATTTTTGGTTTGTATAGGGTTTACGTAGGATGTAGTTTGGGTCGACGCATCCCAAACGAGCCCGGGGCTCTTCTGAGCACTCCTGCGCTGTCAAAATCAGAAGTGTGCGAAGGACATGCCATCTTTGTTTGGATCTTGTTGTGGGCGACAGCCCACAACCATCCCAGGATACTTCATTCGATTGTTACATCTCAAGCACACAGGCAAGCATCCAGAACAGGACCAAGTGCCCCCGAACCTTGAACCCAATCGCTGAACATGAAACCGGAACTCAAAGTCAATTGCCACCAGCCCAGGTCCCCCGTCTCCTGCACACGATCTGTGCCCAACAACGACATGTGAAGCCTAATTAAGCCTGTAGCAAGTCTAGGTTGAGTTGATCAATGTGCTTTTCTTTGCAAACGCGTCGGTGGGCTAGAGTTCTTGGGGAATCGGCTTCAAGTACAGTCCTTGGTGGAGTCCGGCGTGAGTCCCAAATCCTATTGGCTTTGGAAGGACGACGGAACCTTAGCGTTTCTTGCCCCCAATTTCCCTGAGACACTCTGAAGTCCTCGGCTGCAAATTCAATCCTGGCGTCGAGTAAACCCGGCCAAAACCATCTGCTTACCGCAATTGAGCCACCCGTTGAAGCCGTCGGGGCGCAGCGCCACCGCCTTTGCGATTGTGCTGTCATCAAGGCCTTTCTCCTGTTTTGGATGTTACATCCTACGACTTCCAAAATCGCCACTACCACCGTGGTCATCACCGAAGGGCTGCGGGGAACTCCAGAACCAGTCTTGGGTATCAACACTGGGGCAAGACGGTGGCTGACGGCCTGGCAAGCTCATACTCTCAAACTCGGTGTTTGTAGATTCAGCCCCGTCGGCAAGTTCCATCCAGTAGGTACCAGGAAAAGGAGGACGTACAACAAACCAAACTATCGCACTCGGAGCATCGAGGCTTCCGGAGCTGGAGGGTACCATGAGCCTTCCAACACCTCAAGCCCTAACACCCCGACAACCCTGATACCCTCATCAACTCTGGTTTAATGGTTACATACCCCTAACCCCTACACCCTATAGACCCGAATACCACAAAGCCCTTAAGACCTGATAGCGTAAGGCCCATTATGTTCTCGAAGAGCTGCACTGAGGTCGACCAGAGTTGGGAGCTTCACAAGCCACGCGATATCCGCGAGACGTACGCGTCCTGGAGCCAGGGTCGAAGGGTTTAGGGGCTTCGACTCGCACGCTCGCTCGACGTAGGCACGGCTTGATGGGTTCAGGCGTTTAGGGTTTCAGGTTTCGGGGTAGACTCGACTTCGGCTTGAGATGTAGGATTTGAGTTCAAGGTTTGAGGTTCAGGGGTTCGGAATGCAGGTGTAAGGTTCTGGTGTGCTGGCGCTTGACTTCAAGTACTTCAGACGGGGCTTGTCACTGCCGGCTTACTACTTGTTAAGAGTTTACTCGAGGAGGAGTGGATCAGGTTCCTCCCCCCCCAAGTGCACACGACCAGACGTGTGTACAACGACCAAATCCCCAAAGCCCTGAACCCTAAAGGTTCTGCCTACTTGTATCTGTGGTGCTTCAAAACTCCACCCCTTCGTCGTCCTGGAGGATTGAAGGTATGCCCTCCATCTGCATCCAAGAGGTCGAAGATGTTTGTAGCCTCTGCCGGTCCCCGGAGTGTTGCGCTATGTCAGGTGAGAAAAAGTAGTGTATCATCTGAGACGCGCATGAATACAGCTTCAATAGCACGGAAGCAAACAGTGGCTTCACTTGGATGTCGTCGAAAACTGAGTAGATAACGGTGTCTTCTCGCTTCAAACCTAGACCTTAAACATAGAGTTCTCAACCATCCCCAACACCCAAAACAGAACCCCTGACACCTTTGAAAGCCTCATAACCGTCATGACCCGTAAACCCAAATTCACCTGTTTCAGCTCATGTTTGCCTCCTGCGCAGAACGGCTTTCCTTGTGGTGGATGCCTGCCTCCGTGGCGGAGAAGCCCAGCGCGCGAGTCAGGATGAAGGTGAGCTCCTTGGAACGGATGTGACACGTTTTAGAGTCTGTCTATCTGTTCATCTATTTATCCATCTGTCTATCTGTCTACCTATCTGTCTATCTATCTAGCTGTCTGTCTATATATCTATCTATCTGTGACTATCTATCTAGACGTAGAAACACATGTGTACATTAACATATTCATGTCTTGACAGTTCGTGTACACACGGACATGTGATTCATTCATCCTTTGGAGTCCGGCGACTGGGGCATCAATAAAGGTTTAGGGCGCTAAGTGCAGCAAGGGCATGTGTGTTCTCTGGGAGTCACGGCAATACATGCAACATCTAGAAAGGGCAACTACACTGTGCCCCAGTGTTGGTAGAAAGGTAGAGATTTCATCCAGGCCATGCAGAGCTAAACAGCACTGTCAGCAACACATTGCCACGTGTTGGTGTTTGCGGCGGCGGTGGTGGAGGTGGGCATCCACGGAGTGGGGGCTGGGAGCGGGACTAGTGGGAAATAGTAAGACGTCTGTAGCAAACACCCCCGATAATTACAAGCACTCGCAATTAGCTCGCGTAATACAACGAAACAAGGACAATCATGTCAGAGATGGCCACTGAGTCATCAGTCATGGATACTGACATTACCAAAGTTATCAAAGGACAGCCAGCTTGCTGCCTGAGTAGACTCGCAACAACATCCATCTTGCAGCACTTTCGGCAGAGAAAGCCCCGGTCCCTTACAGTGGCCAAGTGTCATTGACAGCAAACCTGTCGGGCATCACTGGCTGCACATGTTGGGTCATCTTTTGCCACAGATCCTGTCCAAGCAAAGCAAAGCCCTCGTCGATGGACTTCTTGGACTCTGCATACACACCGGAGTCTCAGAATATGTGGGACCGCCATCAACACCCAAAACTTAGGATCCTCAGTTTTGGCTTCTTCTTATCGTCATAAGGTCCCACCCAAAAATCAGCCTCTGACTCACTCCACCCGCTGCGCCCTAAGCAAAGGCCATCGTCCTCGGCGGTTGCCTCTTCAGATGGAAGGTTGGCAAGCTTCAGAAGCCTGCGTGATCGGCTCGTAGGAACGGCCGCCGCAACAAGAAGTTCTTATGCGCTTACATCTTGCGATCTCCAAGATGACCCCCTCGCACTCTCCTCACCGCACATGGTAATCAGTATAGTGACAAACTCACCCCACCTGGCGCGGAAGTTTGCCAGCATGCCTGATTTTCCGGGCAAACCGCAGGGTGAAGGTGCACAGCTGGCGAAGCTGGAGTCAGAGACATGCAGATTTCTTCGAGGCCACAGCTTGCTGTGTAAACGACAAAAGCTCTAAAGCGCCTACACCCGTGAGAAAGCCGAGGGAAAGTGATTGACGAGCCAAGTTGCACACGGACGCACTGTCCATCTCGAACAGCGAAATGCAGCCGGCACGTCCCACATCCAGCTCCTCACAGGCATGTTGCCAATTTGAAAAATTGTTACTTTTCCTTGCGCTATGTCATATGTGTCTCTTTCTGTGCATGCAGGGTTGCTTCCTTCCCGTGAAGTAGTAAAGGCCAATCAGGAGCCGCTTAGCTTCGACGAGGTCAGCAACTGGTAGTGTGGGCTAGTAACTAGTAACTGCTTAGTATGTGGCAGAAAGGCAAAGAAAACCCAAGTGAATAGATGCACCGCTTCTCCAAGCTGCAATTCGCAGCAATGGACGTAGCACGACCGGCTCTATCCAACACCATTTTCATTGGTAGAGCTGGAACTCTAGTTCTATCAGGACTGCATTCACCGCGAAGCCGGCTTAGTCAAGGAGGAACACGTCGTATCGATCAGGATGGGAGGCCTGAAACATCATTCGCCAGCAGAATCTTATCTAAAGGGCAGGCTCCTGCCAGTACTCTGTAGAGTGCTTCCAGCACTTCACCTCCTTGCACAGGTTCCGGAACCTAAGTTTTCAGCTTCCAGCACCTTTGCGACTTACCTTGAAGACCTATATACTCGGAGGGAATAGCCTCGCACCAGGGAAGATGGATTTCCGCTCTAAACCAGACTCCCTTTCGTGCAGAGGGGACCTGAGAAGGAAGAAATCTTCGGCTGGTGTCTCGCGCGAAACATCTGTTATGTAGATTTGTGTAAACCCAGATGTCCACTCATTGTTCGATATGATCATCGGCTTCCAACTCCGTGATCGCAGAAGTGCAGAAATATCAGAATAAGAGGTGTGAGGCAAAGCCAGCAGCTGCGGACCTACAAATGGAGTCGATCGCAACTGGGTCTCGAATGCAACACCCTACACCTGAAACCTCAAGACCTCAACATGGAGATAATGTCCAGCATAAAGACCCGGTGTCTGATTCCTGTCGTAAAACCTAGGGTTTGGTGCCATACCTGCACGTGACAAAAAATCCAGACGTCCTCTGGCCCTCCGAGCCCAGAAAGTTAGAGAGTTAGATACTGCTATTGGGGGGATCTTCCGTACTCAAGGGGAATTTGTTGCTAGCATCTGCGACACCCGTGCGCAATAAAGTACCTGAAAACCACGACGTTGCTAAACTCTCTAGACCTCTGCTCTGGCACTACCAGCTATGCCTGAAAAGCACCTCAAAGCCCCAATTCCAAGGCCACCAACCCAACAATGCCCAGTCGTCGAAGCATCTCATCGTCGTTAATGCTGCCGACGGTACTTGGCGAAAGGAACCACCCGTGTAATGCCGAAATGCCTGCAACTGTGAAGCTTTTGCAGCAACCTGAGCCTAAACCCTAAATCCTTTTCAAAGGAAGACCGAGAAGCAAATTACCTCAGCATGAGGGGTGATTCGTAATCACGTACTCGCATCATCACAACCATTGCACTCCGGAGCGCTACTTCGGAATGGGGCTTGTAGTACCAAGGATGGGCGCGGACGCGCTCGCACGTTTCTGTTTGGGCAGTTGGGCTTGCGGTATTCAGAATTGAAAACTGTTAGGATGCAGTGCTTCAGGCGTCACTGTGGTTCGTGAGCCTCTTTGCGGTGTCTGCATGCGATCCAGATGCAAAGCTCCAGGGTTTGCGGGAGACTGACCCTATCAAAATCACAGCTGCAGCTATAATTACGCTTCATATAGGGGCGTTAATAATTAGAATAGGGTTTTAGGTCCCATTATGCTGCAGTTATCATAAGGGACCCCTCAAATAGTGCATTTATTTAGACCCCTATATTATCAGGCATATCACTTGCGCGACCACTACCAGTCACTATACCACGACGTGTCCTGATCCCAAGACGCTGAACCCTCGTGCGTCGAAGAGCGCTTGGTTGTGAACTGGCCTTCGCCAAGCTCCCAGTGCAGAGCCGAACCGACGGCTGATGTGCTTCCTGACTTTTTGTTGGAGGGCTCTCTTTTCACCCTGCTCGTTGTAGGCTTACTGGCTTCTCGGTTTCTATAGGTCTGTCGGTGGTTGACATTGAGGGAACCACGGGGTGACAGAGATTTAGCGCCCTCACCATATGTGAGAGTCAACAAACACCCAACCTCTGAATAAAGCCCGTATTTTAGCAGCCAGCTGAGCAAGGTATCCGTAATTCGAAGTATCCCCACCATACTGATCCCAAGAAGCCTGCTCAAAGAAGCCCAAGCAAAAAGATGCATGGGCCGAACCCTAAACTCGCTACAGAGTTCCCTCAATTATGGGGTTTAGTAGCGAAGCGACCCAAGCCCCATGAGCAGAAACAGCCAGGCCGCTTGAAGGCTCGGAGCTTGTGGCTCATCTGCGGGGTCTCCAGCACCTCCCGCGATTGCCGCAACTTGCACACGGGCCGTTGGAATCCCCAAAAGTGCTTGTTAAAAGGGTGTTATTAGGCCGTGTAGGCTTGGCGAATTGCCAGTGGGGGCCACGGAACCGAGCCGAGGCTTAGGATTGTGGGATTTTGGGAGGGCGTCCATTCTTTTTCTATGAAGGACGGGGTGGAACAACAAGGTTGGGGTTCAAAAACATGAGCGGGATTGTGGGATCTGGGTGCTGCTCGCACCTCTACACACCCACAATGTACAAGGCTTTTGCATGAGATATATACACATATGCACACCAATGCGCCTACACACTTACCTGCCGACTTGTGTCCCGGCTTTTGCGCACACACACACACACAAATGCATTATTGAAAAACTCGCTTCAGTAATTTACAGAGTCTAGGGAAGCAGAGCATACCATGGCATACTGTTAAGCATGTGATACAGTGACACATAGATGGGCACAATGAGCTGCAAAACAACATGAGATGACGATATACCACGGCAAGACACAAAAAGACCCTAGACTGTAGATATCGATGTGTGCATGTGCACACACACACACACACCGAAGCGCACAGGCTCAGTGTGTTGCCGAGTTCCGATGCGAATCCTTTTCCAACTATCGTCGTGCAGCTATGCGTGACGGCGCAGCACTGTGATTTATAACCGTGCCCACGACATGCCAACAACAAAAGCAGTTGCGTGCAATGCAATCCGCAACCGAGTGTATGTTTTTGGCTCTCGGCATGTGCATTTGCCAAAACTGTGCACAACTCCGGATTGCCTGCAGCCTGCTTCGGAAACTGAATAAACAAGATCCTGCATTTCCATAGCTACGTCACATCCGGGAGAAGCACCCAGCGGCAGAGGTGCTCCATGCAGCGGGGGTTCTTGCTGGAGTAGTGCTTGGAAATCCTAAGCGATTTGGGGGTTTCCGAGAATAGGGGACCCCTGATATTACCTTAAATAGTAAGATCCTTATTATAGGGACCCCAAAATAAGGTACCCCTTATTTCGGAAACTCCCATTTCAGCGGCAGAACTGGCAACCCAAGCCTGCATCCTGCCCCTCGACCTTTTGACTTGTCCACTGCCTTGCAGCCAGGGGTCTTGGCCAAGAGCTCTTGCATCACAGGCTCAGCACGGGCTCGGGCATTGTAGAAGTTGATCTCTTCGAGGCGAACTTCCTCAGAGGCTTCAGTGTACGTTGCACTTGCTATTGCTATGAGGCCAAATACAAAAAAGGCAAACCATTCTTCAGACCAGCTCTTCAACTTCACGGCTCGTCCAGGCATTGCGACTTTCTGTTGCGAAGTTGGCTACTGGACGGCAAGCAGCACAAACGTGGGGCATCTGGCCGTCCTCCGTCTCCACCTCTGCTGCACAGAGACAAGACTGAGGGGGCTTGGGGCTTTGTCCTGGATGAACCCTGACAACAGGCATCTCTGTCCTACAGACTCTAAATGTCCCCTAACCCTGATCCCCACAACGAAGCTTTCCACCCTCTGGCAAATGCATGGCCTCCAGGATCAGCAGAACCTCCACGAACCTCTCTCCTGTTCGGCAAGCAGTCCTGGCGGTGCGCAAGCAATCTTGACTGCACCGTGCGGCTGAAAAAGCAACTATGCACCCCATATCGAACGTGGACGTTACGGACGCAAAACTTCGACTACATGCTTTGGTCGTCAGCCAGAGGTGATCATGAAGAATGAAGGTCGAATGCCCTGCATTCGAATAATCCAGGCGAGCCTGAACTTGTTCCGGACATCCACCACCTGCAAGCACAAACTCAACACACCGCTTTGCTCTGCAGACTCAACCCGAACCAATCATAGAAGTGATGTTAATCATCCTTGCGTGTTGACGCCACCACGCTAGCGGAGAGCACGGCGCCAAGACACACAAATGGGCCAATTCGGATAGACAACTTATACATCTGGCATTCTTGGGTTTAGGTCCATGCTGGCCTGGTTTAGGATCTAGCGCCTCGAATGCAAACTTTCCGCGGCTGCTGAGTCATAAGCCAAAGCAAACGCTGTCAGAAGACACGACCACCCGGCCTCAAATTGGCTCAGAATCAAGTCCAAGGCATCTTGCAAGAAATCGCCTGAGGGGGACCATCCCCGTACAACATTGTTTGGCCGCAAGTTTGGGGCTTCAAGTCTCTTGGTGACACTACATACGAGATCGCTCACTGCAAGGACTGTCCATCTGTCCCATGATTACATGCCCCTACATGCTTGGGATGTAGCCTCAGTCAGAAAGGGACTAAAGGTAAGCCAGGTTTTGCACGTGGCGAGGGGGAGAGGTGAATCTTTCTGCCTTTGATCGTCGTCAAGCACACGAGATTTTTGAAATCAGACGGTTGGGCAGTGTCCAGCCACAGTAGCACCTGAAGGTAGGTACCGCATCTACAATACAATACTCTACGGTGCTCAATACATCTCACCGTCAGAATAGCCCGCACAGAACCGGTCAGAGTGCTGGCGACAGTCGAGCACCAGCTGTAGATCAGTCAGCATGGACTGGCAAACACGCACACTGCCAGGCAACAAAGCGACGGGCATGGCGAGCAACAGTTGCTTGAACACGGCTTGCTTTTCTGGCGACCTCATCGGGAAAGGTGCGGCCCAGCGGCAATTCTGAAAGACCAAGCCGATTCGCGCCATGTCAAGCACATGACGGTACCTCCGCTTCGAAATGTGGAAGGGTTCCGTTGCACCGTGGACAATAGCCCTGAAGCCCCAAAACCCTAAACAGTTGAGCCCGAAGGCCCCCTAAACCCTTGAGCCCGAAGGCCCCTATATCTTAGCAACCTCTTGAAGCCCTAAACGAAACCTTAACATAACTTACCCTTCAAGGAACCCTTGACGAAACCCTCAACCAAAAACCCTGAAAGTGACCCCTAAAAAAAGCCGGAAAGAAACCTTTGAAAGCCCCGAAAGATCGAAAGGAAGCGGGCCGCGCCTTCGCGCGTCCTCGGCTGGGCCGAAGCGGACGAGGGCTTTCCTTAGGCAGAGTCCCAAGATGACAAGAGGACAAGGTTTAGGGTTAGGGTTTAGGGTTTAGGGTGTAAAGCAATGTAGAATATGTGATATACACTGAAACACTTATGTTTCTGAAGATGCTATAACAAGATGCTATGCAATGTAGGTGTTACACACATGTATGTACATATGTAGCAAGGGGACGAAAAGGCTGAATACATAATTAACATATGCATGGATGCAGGTGAGTGGGTGCGTCTAGGTCCGAAAGCCCTCCCGAAGAGTCGTGAGCTAAGAGCGTACTTGGCTGTGACGGCATCCTCGTAAAAAAAAACTTAGACATTGGCTCATCCGGACTCTCGTGCCCTAAATCATGCAGGCAGAGGCCGAGTATCAACGAAGGAATTCCGGTGTGCATTCGAACGCAACTTCCTAGAGATAGTAAGCGACTACGCTTGCCACGATCCTAAAAAGCCCGACTCCCATCAAGCATCACGGGTCGGGCCTGTGCTACATGCGAGATGCAAAGAGTTTGCAGTCGGGCTTCGTGTCGGCAGCCTCCCAGGCGACCCGTGCAAAGCTTCTAAAGTTGACTCGGTAAAAAGATAAGCATAGCGTAGGGCCTTGATAAGTAGAATAGGGTTGAGTTTGGGGGTCCAGTATACAATAGTTATAACAAGGAACCCCCAAAATAGCATTGGGCAATATGGGCATGCATGCAAGCATTTGTACTTATATAATTATGTAAGTCAGCACAAACATGTGTTTGAAAAGCACACGCATCTAAATCTACATATATATATATATGTGTATATATATATATATGTGTGTGTGTGTGTGCGCGTGCGTGCGTGCATGTTTCTATACACAAGCAAGCACCTAAACAACTACAAATACAAATACATTTGTACATACCGACGCAATATATGTTTACATACCTGTATGTATATATAGACATATGTGTGTGTGTGTTTTTGTGTATGCATGCAGGCAGGGAGGCAGACATGTATGGCCGGCATGGATGCATGTATGGAGGGATATAGATGCACATAAGTATCTACAAATATATGTATGTATATATATACATACACAACTAATTACATGGTTATGTCATAACTACGTAGTGACCCATAGTTGGTATATCCCAAAGGCACCTCAATGGACTTGACGCCATGGCTATACGCAAAGCTGGCCATTGGCACCCCGCTCGGCTTGTGTCGTAGCTCCCCCGGCCTGCGCTGGAAAACGTTGCGGCTAAGTTTGTGCGTCACGACCCTCATATTCGTGAACCTATGAATCAAAGAACGACAGCAGCCAAATCCTAAACCTTCAACCGTGAAACGTTGCTGCCTACCAGAAGAAGGTTGACAGCCTCGATATTGGATTTTGAGCTTCGTGTCAACCAGAAACCCATGACCGACCGAATGGATCAGCGTGCATTCCGAAAAGCCCTTCGTTTCAAATCTTCGTCCTTCTCGCAAACATTGCGTGCAGTCGACCTGTGACCTGAGGATTCGAGCTCCACACTTCGAAGCTAAATACCAATCCTCGAGCCTCCAGGCGTGATCCTTAGGCGCGATGAGGCTCTCCAACATGGCCTGTGCAAAGGGGTGACCGCGACCGTTGCCTATATATATTGCTTGCGGTTTTAAACTGTTCATCATGGTTTAATAAAGCGGCATGAGGACGAAAACCTCTTCCGGACTGGCATGAATGGACGCACATGCCCTGGCGATGGCATCTTTGCGCGTTATGCGTAAAGGGAAGCTGCCTCACAGGTGTGTCATGCCAGATGACACAACCACGCGTTCCGCTTATCTCGATGTCCAGCGGTGCTCATATCTTCGAAAACAGGAGGCCAAGGATTCTTCAGGAGAACAAGATGCGAAGTCTTACGCGCAATCTGGAAACTGACTGTACGGGAAGGACGTGGTTGCCACGAAAGAGAAAGTCAGACAGGCGTCTACGCACACCCGCGGCAATAACTGGTTGCAATCCAGAAACTATAGTTGAACATGATTCAGCTGGGAATGACCGGAAAGGAACCTAATCGACGCTGGCAGAGGATGACGCAGAAAAGGCGATAAGGACTGCTACCAAAACTTATCTTCAGTGCGTGAAGGTATCGTTTCAGTATTACGACTTTGCTGTTAAGTTTCCAAATGATAATTCTGATGCTGAGACGATGACAATGACAAGCTTCACAGGAACGAGCCTGAGCCTTCTCGGCGGTCACCTCGGCTGGCACACAGCTAATTAGTGGCCTAAATGATTACCTATACTATTCTGGGTTCCTTAGTATAGTTATAGTAACACCAAAACCCTATTCTAACTATTAAGGCCCCGAAATTAACAACACAGATCCACGGTAAACGGAAAGGGCTGAACAGCGATGAATGGACATTTTGGGCTTGCGCTCCACCTGCTTGAAACCCTAGCCCAAGCAAGACTCTTGGGGAGGCCAATTTCACGCGCAATTTCAGGCATGCCAAATGCCAATTGGCTTCAGGAACCCACCTCGCCCTCTAGTGTAATGCAGGGGCCTCAATAATTAGAATAGGGTTTTGGGAGCCCATTGTACTATAAATTATAATACGGAACCGCCAAAATAGTATTGGTAATTATCTACCCTCCTATAAGAAGAAGAAGAACAATAAAAATGATAAGAATAATCGTAATAATAATCATAATAATAATAATAGTAATAAGAATTTGAATATGCCAGGTTACTACCCATAGGCCCCGAAGTAGTTCCTTTTGGGGATTACCCTATAGTACCTATAGGATTCAAAATATGAACACCAAAAAGGAACTACTTTGGGGCCTTAGGGTAGTAACTAGCAACTAGCATCATCCAAGCAGCATGAAGCTGTTCAAGCTCATCCTGCACCTCTGCAGCAACGCTTGGCAGGAACTGACTTGGGGGGGCTTCGTCCGCGATGTACGTCCAGCCATACTCGCTTTCGTCAGCAGAGCATGGGCGCCTTCCCACTTCTGCACCATCTCTCTCTCTCTCTCTCTCTTCCTTCTCTCTCTCTCTCTCTCTCTCTCTCTCTCTCTCTCGTTCTACACGCAGCGTTGCTCCTGGAAGGAAACAGGAAACAGGCTCACAGTGAAAACCGTGTAGATTCACAAAGTCACGCCCAAACCACACCGCGCCTGTCGGATCGGCCCAGGTTCCGTTTGGGTTTCCCAGCCACGCCAGTCAGGTAGCAGGTTGCCTCAGCAGATTACCTACAAGGAGCGAATCTTCTGACTATCATAGCAGCATTGGCAAGGAACCTCTTCCAACACTGTGGACTGAAATAGCACCGGAAGCTGCAGGAAACTTCTTCATGACTGACTACCTTATCTATCATGATGAAATGTCGGACTTGCCGTCGGGTGCTTGTTGTGCTTAGAATCTCGATCTGCACAGGCATTGGCAGCCACGGATACTCTGAGCTTTGCAATGTTGTTGCTGCTGCTCTTGCTCATGACATTGCTCTTCGTGGCGCTTGCTCTTGGCGTTGTTTGCTGCTGCTGCTGCTGCTGCTGTTGGTACTGTAGTGGTGGTGGTCTTACTGTTGTCGTCGGCGTGGTCGTCGTGGTCGTCAGTGTTGGTGCTTCTGCTGAGGTTTTATCTGCCTGTTGTCGGTGCTGTTTCTGCTTGATTTTGCTTCCGATGCTAATGACCAATGATGGTGATCATGGTGACAAACATGATGGGTCGCATCATTACCGTCATTATTCTCCTTTGTTCTTGCTTCCAATCCCTGTGCTCCGCAGAAGCCGAGGCTCCATCAGGGTACAGCCGCAGCGACGGTCTGCTTGCAAGGCTGCTGAAGCCGTCCAGTTTTGTGCACTGCGTCAGTGCCTGGCGACCGACTTTTGCAGAGATCCCCATACAGGGTGTATGTGTGTGTGTGTACAGGTGTATATGTATATATATATATATATGTACAAATAATCATATACACAGAGAGAGAGAGAGAGAGAGAGAGAGAGAGAGAGAGAGAGAGAGAGAGAGAGAGAGAGAGAGAGGAGAGACGGGTTTTCAAGATGGGGCGTTCTCTTTTGCGGTCTTTAGGATGGGGATTCGACTGCCATAGATCTCTGGCTTAGTCATGTCTGAGGTATCACGCAATCTCCCATCTCTTGCGAGCGAAATAGGACCTCGATTACAACCGTGTTGGTTAAGGTTGCTTCCTGCATGAGCTCAGGGAAACCGAGCTCTCTCGATTCATGGCATTCAAGAGTTCCGGTTTTGCCATTTTGGGTTAAGGGGTTTATAGGGTTTGGGCTTTTAAGGTTCAGGGTCTTGACTATTTTGGAGTTGGCAACTTGCTCGAAAATGAGCATCTAGGAGTCTGACAAAGGGCTTGGGGCCAGGGTTGACAAACTGGCTCTCGGGCTTTGCCCGGCGTCTTGGCGACAAGTAAGTGAACATTTGTCGATTGCGAACATAGCTGACGACCTTCGCTGCAAGTTTAGGATATACTTGGGGAACGAACCGTTCGTGGCATGGGAACATGAGAACGCAGGTTCTTTTGGTCACGGCATTGGACTTGCGCACAGCAACTCTTCCTTTCAAAGCCCCGCTGGCCACGAGTGGCCTGTCTATGGGCCTGCAAATCTTAATTAGACGGATTGGGAAGGGGGGGCACCTTTAGCCCCGCCGCCTCGAGCGTGATCTCTCACGTCTGCTGGTACTCGGACGGGCGACATCCCGGATACAATGACGGCTCGGGACTTCAGCCGAGAAATCATCTTTTCGGCATTGGGGGCAGCGTCGAAGATTGGCATCTTCGGCAAAGCTTAGCTGCGTGTAGCAGTCCCGGCACACGATGCGCTTTTGACAGCAGAACGTCTTCAAGAGCTGCGCCGTCTCATCGTAGCACACGATGCAATATTCGGCCGAGTTCCCAGATGCACCTAGGGTCTATGAGCATTAGGAACTGAGGCTGCGTGGCGGGGAGGGTGGCTTTTCGACTTCCCAACCTCCTAGGGAATAGCTCCGCCTCATGTTTAGGAGCTCCCGCGTCACGGCGTTTAATTTGCTGCGAAGATTTCCGGAGGCCAGGCCAGTCCGCCCCAGCTGAGATAGAAACCTTCATCAGGTAGGCAGAGCTTTTCTAGAGTTCCAGCTAAACTACTTGTGGCACCGGCAAGAAAAGGCTAGAATGCGGGAGGCAAAGGAGGAGAATCTGCGACAAAGTGTCACTACTGAGTTTGCTGATGCAGCTAATTCGGACGAAAGCAAGACTACTGTACCACCGCAGCCGCCCGGCAGTCCCAAAACCCGTAGCCGTAGCAGCCCCAGCACGGCGATCAGGACCATAACGAGCCGAAAGAAACACTGTTTATGTATGTGTGGAAACATATATGTACATGATTCTACACCTTCACTCAGCCAAGAAACTTATCTGGATGCCAGCGCAACAAGGCCTCGGACACAAGCCTCTGCGCCTCTTCCACAGTCAACGAATCTGGCAACGCCAGGATATTATGCTCCGGGCCACGTGGGAATGGTACGGTCTCTACGGTAATGTCGAAGCTCTGGCTTTGGCGAACCTCTTTTTCGAAAAGCTTCCACCTCGCAGCGTCTCCGACACGCGTCTCGTGAAGATAGTCGGCGCGTCCCTGTGGTGCATGCAGCTTCTCACATGGTGTGGCACCTAAATCTGCGAGGAGCTTCGCCACTTCTGGGGAAAGCCGCAGGTATCGTTTGGCCCGGGTGATGGCCACGTAAAGGATGTTCAGCTCCTCCTGAAAATACGGCTTCTGGATCGATTCGTAGGGAAGGAGCTTGTCATCCTCTCCATAAGGCATCCTGGGTTCTTGTTAAGGAATCTACCTTAAGTTACAGACCATAACTAGGATTTATCGTAAATATAATATGGCTTCTTTATTATGGTAACTTATGTAAGTTCTTAGCAAGGACCCAGCATCGTGAAGTCCGATGCCAGCTCCACATAGTCGAACTCCAAGCCCTTCGCCTCGACATAAGGGTTGCCGTCCGCGTGCGACGAGCTATGACTTCGACAGCTACTCGATGACCATTATAGAGTGTGTATATATAAAAGATAAACTTAGATCTCTATATCTCTATATATGTATACACATGTAATATAATAAACATACTAACATGTATATAACACGCTTTTTCAACAGGACCCGGTAGCCTTGTGCGCAGTGATGAAAGCCACATCTGCTT